TCAAATATTGTAATTTTTCAATATCACTTAGGTCGTCATTATTTCCAATGACCGTGGTAAAAGTTGCAATAAAGTCCGGCCATTCTTAGTACGATCCTTGAAAACGAGCAATCTGTAGATTTGGCAATCGAGGTTTTCTAAATCTGAAAGAAAGATCCGCATTGTTTATAATATCAAAGGATGTAGAATTGGCAGCTGTGGAACCCGGCAAATGCAGCTTGCGAAGAGCTGCTCGGCCCGATTTAGTTTCGCCTTTAAATCCATTAAGATTGCGGAAAATTCAAACCGCGTATCTTTACTAATCTCCGAAAAGTCCAGTTTTTCCAGCGAAGTCTGTGCAGAATCGAATTCCAAGTTCATAGAGTTCACCCATACCAGCCGCGCGAGGACATCAGATTCATCAACCTGATCAGTAGCTCCAGCAGTTAAGTAACTGCCGCAAAACGGAACGCACTTTGGCTCGGTAAAACTCGATGTCACTGGGAACATCATTTTGAGGCCAATCGCGTCTTCTGGGTTAACCATTTTTTAATTGTCTGACCGGATTCAGAGGGCAGGGAACACCCTATGCCTATTGCCGCGCAAATGTTAATGCACCGAGCGTCGCCAACAACGTAACGGAAACTTTGACTTTGTTTTTGTTCTTTTTACCGACATTTTTGCCTAGCAACAGCGCATTGACTTGGCAAAGTAATGTATGTGACCATACACATACACGGCTATTTACACATATATGTATGCAATATACGCGTTTAACAACAATTAATTGCGTTTCCTTTTATGTTTAATGTTTGCAGAACAACACAGTTTTGCTTCTTTCACAGCGCGAAAATGCTCAAAAAAAAAAACAAACGGCCGGCCGGCAGCGCGCCCATAAAGTGTTCGTGTGTTTGTGACTGAGATGCAGCAAACGACAGCGAAAATAGGTTATTGCTTAAACGATATTAAACAATGTTAACAACCAACATGCAGACTCCAACTAAACGAATATCACGTCGGGGTCACCAAAATGTTTATGGGGAAAACAACCAAAATGCCACCCTTTAGTTTAGAAATATAAATTAAACGCACGATAGTTTCAATTGAAATTATTTCATGTTTTTATTAGCTGTGCTTTGAGTTGCAGCGATTTTTATAACTGACTTGCCGAAAGCTTGACTTCAAATTTGTGTACATGTTTTCGCTGTAGCTCAGCTAAATAGATAACACGACAAAATGTAGCGAGATAGGAAAAACGAAGAACAAAGCATAACAGCCCTGCGTGTGCAGCGCACACCTATGAAGATTTGACTAGGTGCTGGCGGTCTGCTCTAAACACCTTCATTATTTGTCACTGGACCGTAATTAATCGGTCAACGATTAAGAAGTTCTTCTTGACCCAAAATTTAAATTCCAATATCTCAGACGCCGAGTCGCAAATTTGGGTATAACTCCGAAAATAGTTCGAAAACCCTTTTAGAATTGTATTTTTACAAGTAGCAAAATTCAAAATATGTAAAAAATAGATTTTTTTTAAATTTCTAGACCAGAACACCCCCTTAAAAGAAGTATTTATTTAATCGAATGCATAATTCGTCGTCACAAAATTAAATTCCAGAAATGTAGTTGTTAAAATTTAGATCATCATGATTTTTTTGCCTTGTTAGGAGGTGTTTTTGTTTGATATCAGAACTCTAACTACTCTTTACGATACTGCTCGCTCCTCGATTACAGTGCTGTCAATGCAGTTCGGGAGATGGCCCACGCATATAAATCGAATTATAGTCGTTTTGTATTATCTGCATTTGTATATAAACATCGGGTTGCCGAATTAATTGACGTCATATTACAGTTGCTATATATCTGTTGCACCGACTAAACGGTTTTATGCCGATTATTTGCGCTTTCTAAAAGATATGTTCTTTTTTTACTGTACATGCCGTTTTTTAAGGAATATAGTGATTATTCAGAAGAACACAAATAATCATAAAGTTCAAGAGTTTATGAGCTCTGGGCATGTCATGTTAAGAAGGCAAATGGCTTACAACTTACAAAAACAAATTTTGATAATTTTTGTATATAAAAGTATAACATTTCAGGAATATCCTGTCTTATCCTGTTTCCTATGTTTTTCTCTAAACTATGTTTTTCACGTTACGTTACGCAACTCAAAAAGTAATGGTCCGATCTAATCAATCATAGTCTGATTTTTAAATATAAATGATATCTCCGGCTTTTAAACAGCGCCAAAAATTCAAACTCGTTTATTTTTCTATTTAATTTAGTTAATTAGCACAATAAACTAATATATTAAATAAATCAATTTAATTTTTATTTTGTAAATATCATTGTGAGTCCAGTCCTCGCGCACCCCAAGGCGGTACTTCTTTGAAGAGATTCCGACCGACAGCCGCCAAGGTCTAAATAATAGATATAAAAATAAAATACTAGGTACTCTTCAAAAATAGGCATTTAAAGTGTAAAAAACTTGAATATTTATCTGTTTTTTAGTGCACCAAGAACACTGTGCGGGAGACAATTGATTACTCTTCCGCTCAGGAAAACAGATGCGGTCTTTAGACCGTAGACCACATATAAGACTAGAATAAGAATCTTGGAAAAATATTTGAAAAAATAGAACAGTTTTAATTCAGAACTCAATTGATGAGGTTGTTTCATTTATTTGACAATCCCTAAAATTTTGGTCCTTCGACAACTCTGCAGTTTTTCCCCACCAGCGGTAAGAGATTAGGAGCTGAGGCCAGCACCTAAATTATTGCTAATTAAAACGCTTGCAGCTAAAGCTCGCTAATAATAATTGACTCTTGTTTCCCCCACCAGTGGTAAGAAACAGAGTATAAATTAAAAAAAAGGTAATAGATATATAAGTATATTTTCTGTGTTTTAAAAAATAAACAAAACATAATTCCAAATAAAAAAAAGCAAACTTCGGCAAGCCAAAGAATATATACCCTTAAAGTTATAACACTTATTTAATATACATATTTATTTTGTCTGAAAAATTTGTACTTAATGCAGACTTACCAAATCGCTTGTAGAATAACTTCTATCTCGATTTGACCTTGGCTAACTGCTCGGCGTGTCAGGCAGATCTCGACAAAAAGACTCCATCGACAAGGAACCGTGGGCTCGGAATGGAAGTTGCGGTAGTATCGTGGTCAAAGTTTTCAGTTTTTGGGTGTCGGTGTTAGATCCTCTATTGCTTTATTTTTATGTATGTGAACTATGTGTTTTGTCCAATCCATTTATACTCTGGCGAGTCCAATTTTACCTTGCTAAACCGTTGTCTCAAGTAAATGACTATATTTCTGTTAGCAATAGTATTCTATCTTTAATTGACACTTGGGCAAAGGACAATTGTCTGGGTCTAGGCCCTAACATAAGCAAATGCAAAGTAATCGCACAAAATCATATTGATACAAGCCATCTGCAAAAACTGGGCTTAAACAACATAACATTGGGTTACAAAGACCATGCTGTTAATCTAGCACTTTGTCATGGATTAGGCACGTTTTGAAGGCAACTGGTCGAACATATGGTCTCCAACGTCACCAGTCAGCATTCCAAGCATTTTTTCCGGAACGTATAAGGTTGCTTGTGGCCAAAACTGTCTTTGTTTCGACATTGTTTTATGGTGTTGAAGTTTTTGGTCATTGTGATTTGCAAGATTTGCAAAAAAAGGTTATCGCTGTAATGCTATTATCAGATCCGTGGACCAAGTCGCTCGGATCATGAAGTACGTTTGTGTAAAAAGATTCGTGGCATAAATTTTAGTGAATTGAGGATTCGTGTTTGCAAAAAATGTTTCAACTAAGCAATTTAAAATGGACAAAAAACTTTATACTGCCAAGGTGCAAAACGCTACCTACCCCAAAGCTTAAAATCAACTAGGGACGCAAATCAAGTCTTTTTAATGCTCAACAATTTTGAAAAATTAAGATAATAATTATCAAGAAAGGAAACAAACTTCGGCAAACCGAAGGTCATATACCCTTGCAGCTATTGCAAAAACTAAATATTCTTGAAAACATTAAAATTATGATTTACTTGCGTATATGTTTAAAAACGTTGAAGCTATGATGATTTGCAGCTTAATTATTCGATAGTTCCTAAAAGCGTAATTCTAAACTGCAAATTATTAATAAGTCTAAAGAAATTAAAAAAAAAATTACAAAATAGAAAAATTACATATAAAAAAAATATTTTATATATTTTTAAAGTTTCTATTGTAGCTATACGATATAGTCGTCCGATTTTTATGAAATTTAAACTGTAATTCTGAAATATTTAAATATTACTATGTGTCGAAGAACTAAAAAAAAAACTAAAAAACAGCTAAGCAATAATTTTTTTTTTTCCGATTGTTCCCATGGGAGCTATAAAATAAAATTATAAAACCCTCTGCAAGGGTATAAAAAATAAACATAAACGTTACTTTCTAGAAAAAAATAAATAAAATCATAAAAAATAAAAAAATATAAATAAATAGGCATATTACAAAAATTATAACAGTTATCGTAAAAACAAAAATATTAAAAGTAACAAAACCATATTGCTTTCTATGGAATTATACTTTGAAATATGTCTTATAATTGTTTTTAATATTATAAGTAACGTAAAATCAAATTACAGTTATTATTTATATGTTTTTTGAATTACTATATTTCCCTTGAAGACGGTTGTCAAGGTGCAGCCGAAATATATTTCTACAATAATGTCTGAGTAATGCTGCTTTTCATAAAAATAACCGGTTACACTGCAAAAGTTTTTGTATAGTAGTAGCTATTTTAAACTATACGTTTGTTTCGATATTTTCTTTTAAAATTGGAATAATACGTTTTCAGCATGAGATAGCCCCAATTCTTCAATCTACACCATCACAATTGTGTACACCATTGCTTATACATTGGTATGCAATAATTAAAAGACGGAACCACAAAGCAACGGTAGGCTTTTTGTGAAAGACTTTTTAACGGTATATGTATTTATTTTTATCTACAATGCGTAGTTACATTTGTATAGGTGTTAGTGTTAGTTTCATTTAAATTTAATTCTAAATTTTTCACCATTTATGTGAAAGTTATCAGCTAAATATCGCATAGAACCATGCCGACAGGAACACCCATCAGGGATGGAGGAAAGGATGAAAAACTTTTGACACGGCAAATTCTCACGGACTATCCCGCAAAAAGACCTATGGTGGATCTGTGAAAATAGGATATAAGTATATGCAAAATTTAACATTTTATTTAAACAATAATATATAATAGAAAAGATACACAAATTAAACAAGAAAGCGAGCGCCCCGACACTTAAATATCCGTTACTCAACTTATTAATTTTAAAACAAATATGACCTCACAAAACAATCGGGGCTTACCAGTGGTAAGAAACAGAGATTAAATTTAACAAGAAAATAATCAAACTTCGGCAAACCGAAGTTCATATACCCTTGCAGCTATTGCAAAAACTAAATATTCTTGAAAACATTAAAATTATTGATTTACTTGATTAGCAGCTTAATTATTCGATAGTTCCGATGGCAGCTATATGATATCGTTTTCCGAGCTTAATAAAATTAAAAGCGTAATTCTAAACTGCAAATTATTAATAAGTCTAAAGGAATTAAAAAAAAAAATTACAAAATAGAAAAGTTACATTTAAAAAAATATTGTATATATTTTTAAAGTTTCTATTGGAGCTATATGATATAGTCGTCCGATTTTTATGAAATTTAAACCGTAATTCTTAAATATTTAAACATTACTTTGTGTCGCAGAACTAAGAGAAAAACTAAAAAACAGCTAAGTTATAATTTTTTTTTATTTTTCTCCGATTGTTCTTATAAAAGCTATATATAAAGTCATCCGATTTTGATAAAATTTAAACCGTAATTCTGAAATAATTACTATATGTCGAAGAACTAAGAAAAAAATTAAAAACAGATAAGCAATAAATTTTTTTCCGATTATTCCTATGGGAGCTATAAATTTAAAACGTAATTCTGAAAAAATTAACCATTACTATATATCGAAGAAATAAAAAAAAAAAAAAATAAAAAAACAGCAAAGTTATACCCTTGCAGAGGGTATTATAATTTCAGTCAGAAGTTTGCAACGCAGTGATGGAGACATTTCCGACCCTATAAAGTACATATATTCTTGATCAGCATCACTAGCAGAGTCGATCTAGCCATGTCCGTCTGTCCGTCTGTCAGTCTGTCCATCTGTCCGTCCGTTTCTACGCAAACTAGTCTCTCAGGTTTTGATCAGCATCACTAGCAGAGTCGATCTAGCCATGTCCGTCTGTCCGTCTGTCAGTCTGTCCATCTGTCCGTCCGTTTCTACGCAAACTAGTCTCTCAGTTTTAAAGCTATCTGCAAAAAACTTTCCCAAAAGTTGTCTTTCTATTGCAGGTAGTATAAAAGTCAGAACGAGCCGGATCGGTCGACAATAGCATATAGCTCCCATAGGAACAATTGAAAAAATAAATAAAAAAAATTATAACTTTGCTGTTTTTTAATTTTTTTTAGTTCTTCGTCATATAGAAATGGTTAAATATTTCAGAATTAAGGTTTAAATTTCATCAAAATCGGACGACTATATCATACAGCTCCCATAGGAACAATCGGAAAAAAAAACAAAAAAAATTATAACTTTGCTGTTTTTAAATTTTTCTATTAGTTCTTCGACATATAATAATGGTTAAATATTTCAGAATTACGGTTTAAATTCCATAAAAATCGGACGGCTATATCATATAGCTCCAATAGGAAAAAGCGGAAAAAAAAACAAAAAAAATTATAACTTTTCTGCTTTTCAATTTTTCTTTTAGTTCTTCGACATATAGTAATGGTTAAATATTTCAGAATTACGGTTGTGAGCAGTTGAATAACTCATGCAAGCAGTGGCCTACCAGTTACCAGTTACGCGGCGAACTCGCCCGTAGTAACGGTAGTGCGGAGAGAGAGAGTGGTGAACTGAGCACCAGACAAAGCCAAGGAGAGTCCGAGAGGGACAGCAATACAAGAGAGAGCGGCGAAGGGCCGTGGGCAGAAGGAAGTAACGGGACGGCACCGGACTTTGGACCCTGATATTGGTGCCGTGCGCAGAGGGCGAAAGGTCGAACGATAAAACCGTGGACTTTGGACCAGGAGGCAAGGAGAAGCCGATAACTAGCGGTAAATGGAGGCCTATATAAACCGGCCGAGCGTAGGAAGCTGGATCAGTCGATTTCTACCAATTCAAGAAGTAACAGTCATCAAGTGAACAAGTAACCAATGAAACATCGTGAAGGAGCAAGTAAAGCCGTGCGGAGTCATCAAGGAAACAAGAACGCTACGTCGAGACGTTCGGGACTTAGAGCTAAAGTCTCCGAATTGAGACACAGGTAGCTGAGGTCCTTACGGCATCACACGGCTAAGTCTTCTGTCGCGATTTGAGCTTGGCATCCCACCCGGCGTGTCCGACAAAGTGAACAAATAGAGTCCTTCGACGAAGAACCGTGGGCTCAGAAGCAAAGTGTCTTGAACTAGCTACCTGCCTACAAGGACTGCATTGGCGAACTCCGGCGTATGCCTGATCGTCCTGCAGGAGCTGTACAAGGTCCTGGTGCGACTAGCCCGGAAGGACGCGCTTTTGTTCAGCTGGTATCTCGAAAGGCGTATGCGTTGAGAGCACAGCGGTCCACCGCTAGAGTCCCAGAACGGCAGCTTACCGAGTCGCCAACAAGGAGGGGAGTCTGCCTACAAGGGCTGCATTGGCGAACTCCGGCGTATGCCTGATCGTCCTTCAGGAACTGTACAAGGTCCTGCTGTGAATAGCCCGGAAGGACGCGCGTTTGTTCAGCTGGTGTCTCGAAAGACGTATGCGTTGAGAGCACAGCGGTCCACCGCTAGAGTCCTAGAACGGCAGCTTACCGAGTCACCAACAAGGAGCGGAGCTGGTCGAGATAGCTGGAGGCAGAACAAGGACAACGAGGACCCCAGGACGACGAAAACGAGCGTCGAACGAGCAGCCTATACTTCGAATTCTTAAGCCTGCGGCAGAGAGGGTAGGGTGGAAGCGTTCGTCTAGAACCTGGCGTTTGACCCAGGGACTGCGTTGGCGGCTTCCGGCGTACACCTAAACCGTCAAGTAGAAACTGAGCCGACGTCCGGTGCGACCGGCCGGGACAGAGCAAGGGACAGGAGGCTGCGGCTGCGAAAGGCGTACGCCTTGAGAGCACAGTGCCTGTTCACCCTAGTCTGGGAACGGTGACGCATCCTAGTCCCTGTACACCCGCCGAGCCAAGGGTGGCAGAAGACATCGCAAGCGAAACCGGCGAGGAAGACACCACTTCGCAGCCGGCACGCTCCAGCGAGGCGTTCAACGTGGGAAGGAGACGACGGCAGGACGTAATTCCTCATAACCATTACACCACCCCGAGGGTCAAGTCGGCGAATAAAAGATCACTGCATACTCCCAATCTTTCTGTGTGTTTTCACTAGTCAAAAGAGCGGTCACGTATACATATATAAATTTGGTGGGACGAACACTTACATCTTCTGAGCTAGCCGCACGACATTCGTAGCGAGCAGATAATAAAGAAAATCAGTTCGTTACATCTGGCGCCCAACGTGATTGTCCTGACAGTGAAAATACAGCAATAAACAGAAATAGGGAAAAATTGGATCTATCTCCTCAAGAAAGAGGATTTCCCAAAGGTGGCAGCCAAGCTTGGCATTATCCTGGAGGGCAAGTCGGACGACATGCGAAAGGCCCTTTCAGAGTATGTTACGAAGACACAAAACGACCCAAGAATGGCGGAAATTTGGGCTGAGCCGGAGGAATTGTACGACAAACCAGGCTCGAGCGGCAAGTTACAAGTCCCAGACGCCGAACAGCTCATAGCCAGCCTGGGCGTTGAGAGCATGAAGGAGGCAGGAAGATCCAGGGGCCCAAGCCAAGAAAGAAGAACAGAACAGCAAAGGCCCAGCGCACCAGACTATGCAAAAGTCGCGAAGCAAGTCAGGGAATGGTCGTTCAAGTTTGACGGCACGGAGAAACCACTGGAGTTACTGGAACAAGTGGAATGGTCAGCAAACACATACGGTTTGAACCTGAACCTCATTCCCCGAGCCATGCCTGAATTGCTGCAAGGCAAGGCCCTAAAATGGTTCATATCAAACAATAAACACTGGAGGACATGGGGAGAGTTCAGCGACAGTTTTCAAACGTATTTCCTGCCAAGGGGTTTCTTCACAAAGCTCGCAGATCAGGTCAAACAAAGGAAACAGGGCTTTAGAGAGTCGTTCAAGGACTATATGGTTGACATGCTGACCATGATGAGACCACTTGGTTACTCCCCAAAGGAAACACTCGAGCAGATAAAAGAAAACTGCACGCCTGACCTGAGGATTTCCCTGAGGACGTATAAGATAGACGATCAAGAAAACAAATTCTCGCGAAGCAAAACAACAGCACCACAAGTCACGTGTAGAAGGTGCGAAGAGGAAGGCGGACACCAAGCACCTATTGACGGTCCAAGCCAATGGACTCCAAACACCTACAACCACTAGAGCACGTTATGGAGGCCACCCAACACCAGAGACCACCCAGCGCAGCTCTAAGAGCCCACAGGTCACAGACACACATCGTGAACCCACACAAAGCTTGTAGACGGTGTGGCGGTCACGGACATTGGGCAAGAGGATGCCAAAACCAGCGGCTGCTTTTCTACTGGACTTGCGGCAAGGTGGGGGTTAGGAGTGTAGAGTGCTGCCAGAGATCGGGAAATGGGTCGCAAGGTGTTGTCTCTCCAAACTAACTGGCGATTTAATCGAAGAAGAGCAGCAGTTATCCGCTGCGGTACAGATTGGCAGAACCTCACACAAAGCCACAATCGACACCGGAGCAACAGCGAGCTTTATAAGCGAGGAGCTGGCGGATATACTGGCTGCTAATGGAAAGATTACAAGGACGAGAAGGCAAGTTAGGTTGGCAGATGGCAGGTGCAGCGGGATAAACATGCAGCTCGAGGTGGAAATCGAATTCGGCAATAAGCGATTGCCCATGAGCCTGTTGATCTTACCAGGAGTGGTAGACTCGCTGGTGCTAGGATGGAAGTTCCTCACAGGAGTCGGCGCCAAAATAAGGTGTGCCGGACATACAGTGGTGATCCCAGAAAGAAGAAGGCACAACGGGTGGTTAGAGGAAAAATTGTCG